CCTCATTGGTACATTGTGGAGAGTTAGACAAATTAGGAGATAAATTATGCAGAAACTAGTGTGAACAGTGGTTTGCTTATCAAAACAAATTTCTAATTGTTAGAAAAGATGCTTAAAGACAAGGAAAGTGATACAAATTAGCCAAAATGTCTGTTAAGGCTTCAAATTAAACAGAAGCATAAATATTGAGTTTGGTACAAAACATTTATGTTTTGTAGCTTTTAATGTGTAATTATCCTAATATAGTTTAAGAATCAGTGTCATAAATTACATGTAATTTAAACTGTGAAATTTTATTAGATTGTGACTTTAATACTGCTTTTTTAACAAATATTGTTAAAAAATAAATAAAATTTAATAGTGGCCATTTAAATCCATAATGACTAAGGTTATCTTATCAGGACTACTATTTTTTCTAATTGCTTTTGCAAACATACTGGAGTCCTGAGTAAGAACAGGGAGTTTACTTTAAATTATGTTTGTGCAAGCGTAGAAGATATGACACAAATGGGAAGGGTTTAATTACTTTTATTCTTCACAGTTTACAGCTGTTCCCTCACTTCAGGATACAAAGACCAGTACTTATGGTCTGAAACATAAAAATAAGAACTACAAACTAAACTAACTCAAACACTTTACAAAGACTAGTAAAGTGGAGATTGGCCTTTTAAACTTTACATATGTAGTAAGTAGAATGCGAGAACTACAATACATCTTCAAGTATCAAAGAGAACTAAGTTCTGGCCTTAAAGGCAGACAGCAACTAACTGAAAAGTGCGCGTGAGGTAAGGTAGCAAGAAGTCTTTCTCTCTTGGCTAAAAGCCACATCTTAAATACTTAACAGTTTGCAAGCTCAATTTGCATTACCAAAATTCACTGCATTTATTATGGCCGGAAGTGAAAAATAAGAGAGGACAGTAAAGTTTTAAAATAAAATAAACGTTAGTAAAACTTAAAATCCTTTCAATCTAACTTTACTAATTTAATTATTTATAAATAACTGCTTACCCTCAAAAATTATCTCTGCATATTAGAATGAGTTATTGCCTTTCATTAATCCTTACTGTGGTCACAAGATAAAACACAAATATGTAAAAATTCATGTAAAACTTATTCTTCGCATCTAGTGAGACTTGGAATACAAAACAACTTATCACCTCTGGTGCTTAATGGCTTAGTGGAACCTTGAAGTTAACTGTGTTACAAGTCCTGGAACTCTACACGAAGGTACGACAATAACTGTGTCAGAGAGAGCCCAACTAACTTTGCCAACAGTTGCCAACAGTGCCTACATCAGGCCTTTCAGGTTTGTTCTGATCATCAGGTTTCTCACTATACAAGCCGCAGCGCTGACATTTGACATCAAGGGGTCTAGAACTGTATAACACAGAGTGATCCCACCCAAATCAATAGTGAAAAGAAAGTTTCCAATGATTATTGTTCAAATTTCTAACTGAAAGTGGTCACAGCAAATAATGAAAACACTTCAGATCATGCAATCTCCATTCACATGGTATGAAGCACCTAAGTACAACAGTAAGTTAACCCATTAACCGCCAAAACTACAAGGAATGTTTCTTTTCTCATGAAAATAATAACAAATATTAAATTAAGCATTTATAACATAAATTTACATTGAAAATGCTCTTACCTGTGGAAAACGTGAGTGTTGCATTGGCGCAACGTCAGTGGTATAAGACTATGGATGTTTAGTGAGTAGGATTGTACTCGTGTGATGTTTCTTTTGAGTGGAGCGCAGGATTACTTTTTAGCTGTATAACGTTTTGTAAATCTACAAATCACTTTATTTGTAATTAATTTAATATTAAAATATACATTGTATTTCTTTTACAAATACAGGTTATTTCAATTGAAAGATTCAAGCATGAAAAGCTTGATTACAATCATGATGTAAAGCTACATTACATACTTTGCATCTATAAACAGTCTGGCTATGGTACTCTTTACAACAAAGTCTTTTGTTATCAATGGACTTTATGATAAAATGTCTACAATATCCATGCAATGGTTTTTGAATGCTGAATTTACTAGGTCTTCCTGTTGCTGATCTATTTCTGGCTGATTCTACACTCTCAATAGGAGTTTGCAAAAGGAACAGAGTCGTAGCTAGGGTTTTCAGCGCCCAGGGACAACTGAAGATTTCGCGCCCTTTACTGCTTGCCAAGGATGGAAAACATTTAATTCTAAAATATCGTAACATCAGTTTGGCGTCCCTTGGATTCTGCGCCCGGGGACAGATGCCCCCTCTAGCTACGCCCCTGAAAAGGAATAATGCATTCTCGTGTCTGAAATCTAAAAGAGACTTTATATTTCCAGTAGTAAAAAGTGGTGATATTTAGTAAGTTTAGATTCGGTCTCACCTCATATAATTTATCAGTATTGTCAAATGCAAATTCTGCTTCATATTCCTGTACTGCAAACGTGATATCGATTCTCGTACAACAGGAACAGAAATGTCCTTATCAAAAGACCAATACATTTTTTCTTGAGGTAAAAAATGATATCCTGTAAGCAATAATATTCCAATAAATCTTCTCATATAGGCTTCAGATGCAATAAATTCTGGGCACTTTTTTTTCGCTGAGCATATATATTTATCTGTTCAACGCGAAGAGAGTAAATGTCTAAAGCAAAACGAAAATCGAAAATCTGTGCACTAGTTTTACCTTGTATTTTGTCTTTTATAATTTCTCTTCTATCTCTTTCTTCATGTTCTTCCTGAGACATAACTAACAGTTGCTTTTTTATCTACTTCAAGATTTCAGTCTTCTGCTTTTTAAACTTTTTAGTATGACTGACTATAATTGCTTTTAGAAGGCTGAAACTTACTTTTTACATGAATTTCAACTTCTCCAGCAGTATAATTTGGTAAAATATCATTATCGTTATTTAAAACATTGCCATTCCTTTCTCCTTCTTCACTAGATTCTTCAATTTCTGGGGAAACAATATCAGTTTCATTCTAGTCATTATTGAGCTCACCATCATCTGTTTCTTCATCAAAAAATCTTTGAAGTGCTCCTTCTAATGTAAGATACCTCGTTCTAGGCATTTTTAAACAACCAGAACATTGAAAGGAATGAGTGAAAAAGGAGATTGACTACCCGTTTCCTGCTGACGTTGCGTCAGCGCAACACCTGTTTTCCCTTCCTTCCCAACACAAATATAAACATCTGACTGATGTAATGTTCTGATAAACAGTGATCTTGACTAAAAATAGATCACTCATAAAGACGGCGATTCTTTCATTAAATATTTTCAGCAAAAATACCCGGTCGAAAATTTTGCTTAAGGTAAGAGATTAATTATTATAAACAAAATGATTGTTGAAGGCAAATATTTTTTTACAGAAATAATCTTCATAATATTCCCTACACAAAATCATCTGTTAGTATAAAATATCTTAGGTAGTTATATTTATATATGCATTTATTTTGACCATTGTGTCAATACAAAACCAGCGGCTAATGAGTTAATGAAATAATATGAGTATCACAAATGCTAAAAAATATCTCAACAATAAGTGTATAAAACAGCATAGCTGAGCAAACTGGAAAACTCGCATTAATAATTCCATCAGTTAAAATACATAACTGGCTGATTCAAAGCTCTACTTCAGAATAAATGCAATCCAAATAGGACCTACATGTGAATATGCATTAAAGAGGAACTAAGTACATGCATTTTATCTTTAAGAAACTAATGGCCAGATGTGATGAACGTTCAATCAATATCATACCCCACCAACTCAAGTTCAGACATAAGACAGGACAATGTGTGACATCACTTGTGGTGGCAGAGCTTGTGATGTTGGTTGTGCCAAACAACAGTAGTGCCTCCTCACCAGAATGGCATCATGATTCCCAGGAAGGCATTGTTAATCTGAATAGCTAATGTAAGGGGCCTTTACATATTTACTCAGGATACATAATAAATGGCTGCTGCACTTATACATAACCTAACTTAACCTTATTGTTTCAGACATCGCACTGCCAAATGGTTTCTTTTTCAACATGTCTGTATTATGCCCATTTTCACAAATTCTTTCTTGGTAAATACCTTTTTCTTGTAAAAAACTATAGCTTTCTTTTCAGTTGATGGTTGATTGAAAATAGTAAGCATGATGAATATTTGCAATGAAAACCTGCTATAATTAAAAAGCGAAAAGTTTCATTAGCCAAAAAAAAAAAGGTGAATATGAGCACTCAGGAAAAAAACCGTTACATTGTAAAATCGAAGGTAGAAGAAAGGTATATGTTCAGATTGGTAACTGTTAAAAAAAATCGCCATATTTTAAAAGCGAAAATTTTTATTAGCCAAAGAAAACTGAACGATGAGCATAAAAAAAAATTAAAAAAAAAAAAAAAAAAAAAAAAGCACTATATTTTAAAAGTGACTTCATGCAGATAGATGAATATAAGTTTCTATCTGTGTTTCTAGTCAATGCACCAAATCAACATTCTTGTCAAGGCTGCTGTAGAAGATAAGTACCAAAGCCAGTCTTCAAAAGCAGCCGTTTTCTTTCTGGCCTTATCCTGGCATCGATAGTAATAGTTTTGATGTTTTAAGATTATTTTCAGAGGGCAGAGAATGTCTATTTTGAAATATTCAGCTTTCATACCACTTCCAAAACTGTTTACCTTTGTTTCTAAACAGCCTAAGTTCTTTTCTTGAAAAATTCTTTAAAATGATAATTGAATGCAACACGACTATTTTGGCTCACATATTTTGCATGCAAGTGCATCAGTCAGTGAAGTTCAATTTGAATATACGATTTAATTATAATTTACAGATAAACTTCAGCTTTTTAAATTAAAAATATTTATCTATCTACATAATTTATAAATTTTTTTAAATGTATTGAGTTTTAATAATATAAAATTAACTATTAGTAATGTTGCATGAAATTCTTTAGCATGCAAATTTCTTAATACATTTTTGATAAATTTTGTACCTAACATACTTTTTTCTTATTTCAGGAAGTATAATATTCCAGAGACATATATCAATCATATAAAAAGGAAGGTGAATTTGGAGGACTAAGATCAATATATGATGCTATTGTTACTTTTATTTGCTCATAAAATGATTTCAATCAGTAATATTTTCACAAAATAATTTTTATATTATCAAACATACATAATATTAAATTATTTATACACCCAGGGCATTGATAAATCATTTTTTGTATTGTTATATGTAGAAAAGGCAAACTATTTTATAATCTTATTTTAACTAGGGATATTTTAAATATACTTTTATTCAATAACAAATGGAAAACTCATGTTCCACAAAGTATGCCACTATGCTTACACGTTTAATTAGGGATAACAGTTCCTTTTCATATTAATCTTTCCCTAAAATCTGCTATTCTCATTTTACAGAATAATATTTTCATAGCTGCTAGTATAAAATTTTTCATTTGCCTGTTTGGTTAATGCATATGACATTTTATAAGAGGGTTAAAATTTTAATTTTTTAATAATCACGATACTTTCAGTATTCAAAGGCAGATAAAAAAAAATGAAGAGACTCCTCTTCGTATATGTCATATGGCTCCAATTAAATTTTAGTTACACCCCCCCTTTTTTTTCAAAATAAGTACCATTTAGAGATGTTAATGCATTATAAATTATAGAAAGAATAACCATAAATTTGACTGTTCTAAATATAGCATCAATCACCAATCTATTATATAAAAGGCATCTCTATTAAGTTGCTTAATGAAATTTGGTTTTTCAAAATTTGGGTCAACTTTTAAAGATGACCCAAATTAGTTTATATTTTGTCTAATAATATGTTCAATGATTCTGATTGATACAGTAAATAAGAAAAAGTTAAAACATTTTTATTTATAATGTTTGATAATGCATACAGATAAATTACAGCAACAGCTTAATCACAATAAATATAAAAAGTTTTATTTCTTATGATATATACACAATATTTACAATCAACATTAGGGATGAAATGTCATCTTGAACTACAGGAAATTTAAAATAAATTAACAATAGATAAACTGATTTAGTTAAATCAATTTACAGAGGGAAATATATAACAACCCCCCCCCAAAAAAAAAAACATTAAAAAAAAAAAAAATCAGCTAAAATTTACAAATGCACATTATATTTTACATTTAAAGCATTATTAGATTTTACAATTCCTTATGCACATTGTACATGAACATACATGTTTTGAAAACGTACACAGTAATTCATAATTTTAAATATTATTATTTAAACTAAACAATATAGTTTAATACATGCCATTAAATATAAACCTGAAAATTTAAAAATTTACATGCAGTTCAAAGTCCTCAAATAATTACTGTAATCTTTCACCTTTATTGATATAAGTAATGAGTACTAATAATTGAAATTTATATGAATATAATTTTTAATATATATAAAATTTAACATCTCGATATCTGAATTTATAAAACCCATTTTTTCACATAAAGATCATAAATAGATTTTAAGTAAATCTATTAATTAATCTAGGCAAATAAAAATATATCTTATACAACATATAACTTAAAACATATTTTTTTCAAGATTTATTACAAAGACTCTTCTAATATTGCACGTTTTCTCTTTTTGTGATTTACCACAAGGTCTGCAGTAAGTATTTTTTGATTTTTACGATACTGCCAACTTTTCAAATCGTGGAGACTTTTATAACCAAGATTAAAGAGAGCAATTTCTGTTCTATCTAAATTTGCAGTTAGAGTAGCAGCATCTTCTTCTAATGAATTCTGAGATGTATCCATCAGCTTTCTGAAACGATTTCTAAATGTCTAAAAAAAGATAATGACAATATTAGGTTACATAATACTAAAATAAATACAGTATTTTATTATCATACACATCATCATTTCAAACTCTACTTGTACTACATACACATATGAGCATTTTATAGCATTGACCAAATTATAATATTGCATTATATATACTTTGCCCAAATAAAAATGATGATTGATTAGTAATCTGAGTGAGCTAAATCCAGATTACTTATCTTTTTATCTTCATTTTTGATAACGATTCAGATTTCAATTTTGAACCTTTATCATTGCCAGCTACTACGGCAATTTAAATTTATTTTTAGACCACAATAATTGCTATAATTATTATCAAATCACTTTTTTCATGCTTGAAATAAGCATTCCACTACAAAAATTGATTAGATGACAAGCTTGACAGATGACAAAACTTTATTAAGAGCTATTCAACTTTTTATTATTGAAGACATTATTCTGCAATTTTTGAGAATTTTTATACTTATATCAAATGACTGAAATAACTGCACAAATATTTTACTTTTTTAACATCAGAATAAGAAGAGTAATAGTCATAGTGATAAATGAACATCCTTCAATGGATTGGTTTATTTTATTACAGGGTTCGTACACATTTCTGCACACGGAAATTAAGTTTCCGTGCACACGGAAATTAAGTTTCCGTAATTAAGTTAAATTTTAAGGACCATTAATGAAAATATTAAGAACCTAGGAGCAAATGGGAACTGAATAAATTAAATTAAAAATACTATCTGGGCCTGAACTTCAATTTTTGTAATACCGTCCTAAAAATAAATAGATCCATAAGTAGGATGCATTGCTATTAAACATAACTTAATTAACATAATTATTAATAAGTTATAGAATAAAATAAAACTTTATGAAATTTATCAAGTAGCATTAAATATTTTACATTTATAATAGCTAGACATATTAGAAAGAAGATAAGCAACATTTTATTTACGTTTTACTAACAGTTAGCTTTATGTTGATTTTTTTCTCTTATGTCTCATTTTGTCATACACTTGCTCAGTCTAAAGGGTTAGTAAATAGCAGGTAGATTTTATGTCAAGCAGCATAGGTTAAATTGAGAAGTAAAAATCATAATCAGCATGATTCGTAACAAAAGACTGGCTGTTGTCACTGCTGCTGCTTGCCTAGAGAGAGCCCTGTTGATCAGAACAAACCTGAAAGGTATGATGTAGGCATGGCTGGAAAGTTTTGAAAGTTAGTTGGCTCTGTCTGATGCAATTAGTGTTGTAGCTTCACATGGAGTTTCAGAGGTTGTAACCCAGTTAATATACTTTAAGGTTCCAATAAGCCAATAAAGCACCAGAGGTGATAAGTTGCTTTGTATTATTTTGCTAAGTTTGTATTGTATGCTAAGTCTCACTAGAAGCAAAGAATAAGTTTTACATTTCTGTGTTTTATCTTGTGACCACAGTAAGGATTAATGAAAGGCAATATTTCGCTTTACTATGCAGAGATAATTTTTAAAGGTAAGCAGTTAGTAATAAATAATTAAATTAATCAGATATCCTTACTTATTATAGATTTACATGGCCACTATTAAATTTTTCTTTTAAACATATTTTTAAAAAAGTTCTTTTAAAATCACAGTCTATTAACATGTCACAGTTTAAAATACATGTAATTTATGACACTGATTCTTAAACAATATTAGGATAATTACACATTAAAAGCTACACATTATGTGTAGCAACAGTACTCAACAAAATACTTATGCATCTCTTTAATTTGAAGCCTTTGCAAACATTCTGCCTAATTTATATCAATTTCCTTCTCTTTAAGCATCTATTCTAACAGTTAGAAATTTGTTTCCAATATGCAAACCAATGTTCTCACTAGTTTCTATCTCCTAACTTATCAACCTCTCCACAATGTACATATGAGGGATTACTTGATCTAATAAAAGTTAAGTAGTACAAAACTCCAGACAGACGTGAAGCAAATTATTGCCATGTGTTAAAGTAACTGCAAACAGAGCCTGCATATTCTTTCACTATAAAACTCAAGTATCCCACCATTTATATTAGAAATAGGAACAAATTATAACCCATTCACCCATTCAAAACATAACTATATTTGTCAGTGAATCACGAAAAATATTCCTCCAAAATGCTAATTCACTCAAAATGGCAGTCTAAAATCAGACAGATATTTTAGATGATTAAAATTAAGGACCTTCTACCGATTTTGGCTGAAATTAAGGACTTTTAAGAACCAAAAGTTAAACCAAAGAGATGCAATATCAGTGACAAGAAACCGACCCTAAGGTGCTGGAACTGTGGTGGTGAAGGGCACATACAAAGAAACTGCAGAACACCCTAGGCCACGGATGTTAAGACCGCACCTAGTAAGAAGCAGGAAACTAATTAGTGGCCATTTTGTGGGGCAGAGGTTGCTAGATAATGGAAAGTCCCAGTTTAAAGCACTTCAGATTTTTGCAGTGAGAGGCGGCAATAATGGACTTTTCACCATGGGACATATCAATGAAGTTTTTTGCAATATGACCATCGATATGGGAGCCAATATTGGCATCATTTGAAAAGATGCGACTCAACAATTGAAAGGCAAACTCATCTGTTACGCCACCCTGCGTTACCCTCCGAACTCTGCCTGATGAGAAGATTGACATCGAGAGAAAATTAGACACTAACATCACATTTGGAAGTGCCGCTTACCATCACACGGCATATATGGCAGATATTACAGATCCTTGCATACTCAGATTGGACATTTTAAGGAAATACAAGTTTTCTTTGGACTTAAACTACTTTCAGCATCAGAGGACATAACTATCCATCATCAGAAGGGATCCTCACCTGGAAACACCTATGCCTTGTCTCTGAAAGACCCTGCTCAGAAAGCTGCCGAAATCATACTAGGGTCGAAGAGAAACACAAAACTACTGGCTATTCTCCATCTCGAACGCTCTTCAGTCGGGACCTTTGTCTGCCTTGTGATCTGTTTGGTCGCCTTCTGGATTTGAAATCGCCTGAAGAATACATCTCAGTACACAATCATCGGTATCACTTGAAGAATACATCCAAGATCTCCCAGACATGGTTTGAAGACATGAAAGAGTGAGTCAACTTGGCGACAGAAAAGGGAAAGACCCAATTCGACACTAGAGCTGCTGGACGTTGATTTAACAAAAAAGACAAGGTGTGGTTGTGGGACATTGTGGTTCAGATCCGTCAGTCATCGAACTCTAAACCTAAAGTAGTTCATTATTATAGGTTAGCTCCTTACTATGGCCATAGTACATATTGTATATAATTGTAAATAGTATAAGACTATAGTCCTTTTTTTGGTTTTAAATTTGTATTTAATTTGATTGTGTTTAGTATTTGATTTGTTTTAGATTATTTATTGGAATTATTGTTTATGTTGTTTGTTATACTAATGTTATGTTTATTATTGCATTGATGCCTTAGTTGTAAGTATAGCTTCCTGTTCAGGGATCCTACTGCCCGGGACGTGCAGTCCTTGGGAAGGGAGAAGTGTTACGTATTTTGTATTTAGTTAGTTGTTTTTAGTAGAATTGTAATAAAATTGTTTTATTTCCCTGTGCAATGCAGCGCATGCCGAGTTTTAAGAGAAAGCTACGCCAAAAAAAGTCAAAATACAGGAGCATACACATTTAATAAATAGATATCTTGTAATTTATATTTAAATTAATTAAATGTAATTGACTACTATGTTAGTTGTGACTGTACTTCTACTCTTTTGCTTACCAGAAATCTCGAGAAAAATTAAAATGGAAATTACAAGAACTTTTTTGTAATCGATTAAAAAGCTTTAAAAAATGCCGGAGAGAGGTGTCAGCTTGTTGTTTACTTAGCTTCTGTAATTTTGAGATTGGATTAACTTTCTGTGTGCTTTGGATTGCGTTCTATTTAACGCTTTAGCAGTTTAAAAATATAGCTACTGATTATTACGTGATATTGCAACACTGTATGAAATATCCTTGAGGAAAAATCTAATGTTTTGTTATATTTCTTGTGTTGGATGTAACACTTAACTAACTGGAGTAAAGAAATTACCTGCATACTCTCCAGACTGCATTTGGTGATAAAATCAACATCGATGGGAAGTTCAACATGAACATCACGTTTGGAAGTGCCGCCTACTATCACACGGCACATGTGGCAAATATTACAGATTCTTGCATACTCAGATAGGACTTTTTAAGGAAATACAGATTTTCGTTGGACCTTCAAAAACAACAAACTGTTTTCGGCATCAGATAACATAACTATCCATCATCAGAACGGATTCCCACCTGGAAATGCTGATGTCTTGTCTAAGATCCAAGCTCCCAAAATCATACTAGGGTCAAACAGAAACACAAGATTACCAGCTATTCTCCATCGAAGACCTTCGTCTGCCTTGTGAACTTCTGTTTGTGCCTTCATTGCCTGAAGAATACATCCAAGATTTCCAGGCCCGCTTTGAAGTGATGCAAGAGCGAGTCAACTTGGTGACGGAAAAGGTGAAGACCCAATATCACACGAGAGCTGCTGGACATTGATTCAACGAAGGAGACAGGGTGTGGTGTGGGGCGGCACGGCATGCTATGAACTGTAAGTTGATCTGTCAGCACTATTCTTATCTTCAGGGCAGATTTTTTTTTTTTAAATTCAGCTTATAATTCCTTACTAAATGTAGTATTTCATCACGATGTACTCCGTCTTTGATATGATTTAAATCAAATTCCTCGTCATTATAAATATCACGAATACACATCAAATAGTTTTCTGGTTGCAATTTTCTAATTTCGACTATGCGCGCATTGAAAGAAACGTTTAATAAAAGTAAACAAATAGATATTTTTTTTTTTAAATAAATTTTGATACCCTTTAGATCACAATGGCTCTTTATTTCATAAATTACGGTTTCATATTTTTAATTTTATAATTTCTGCATGCCATCTTTCCAGATTTAAACTGATGATCTACAATCCGGAATCGCCTGTGGTATACTGTGGTCCCGACGAGTCCAGATTAAAGACTTTTGACTGTATATATAAACACATACACATCAAACACACACACTAAAGCACGAAAATGACTAGGCATGCTTGTGTTTTGTTTTCAAATTATACACACACATATATATATATATATAAACACATACACATCAAACAGCATTTATTGAATGAAGATTCACCATACCATTTAATGACATGAAACACAGCATGATATTTATTACATTTCCATTTAAGGTTTGCAACAAAGATCATATTCAAATTAAATTGATATAAAGGCTGTGAAATGTATAAGATATTTATTGTAGTCAGAATTTTGTTGGATATGTAATTGATGGTATCACTATTGTGCACAATGGACCAATAAGGAGGTTCTAATTTTCTTGAGCCGTAGAAAAATAACTAATTACTATGATTCAACACAAATCCTGACATCTCTTTTTGTTGTGTCATTTCACTCATCCCTAGAACCTCTTTATATATTGTGTCTACACATCTGTTTTGGGATCTACAAATTTGCGTGAAGGATGCCCAATAAAATGCGTATAACTTCTTTTATTATGATTATTATTTTCGTATCCCTGTCTTCCAGCAACCACTATACATGGTTTAGCTAAGTTCAAGATGACTAATGATCTTTTACTAAAGTATTCTGGCATCATTCTGTATAACTTCAATAAGAAAGCACCATCTTGTTTCACGACAAATGTTCCTCAATATCCACAGTTTTGGTAAGATCCTTCCAATGTTGTTTTTTTCTAGAGACAAAGAGACTTGCTGATTTCAACAATTTTATATAGTCCTACAATTGAACCTTTAGCATATATAACTAGAAGTTTCGAGCATAAGTTTCCTCATAAAGTTATTCCAAACGATAGATATTTAACGTTTTCTCACACCACTTGATGCCATTTATTCTGAACAGCAAAAAATAAAAAACAAAGAATTTTTTATCCATGAAACCAGTTTCTGTCATGAATATTCTTTTTTTTTAGGCACTGCTAAACTGTGCAACACCATGCAAGTTCAGTGGAATATTTCATTTCATGATTCTTTTTATAAAATCTTGTGCAGATAAAAGATACCTTTTATTGGAAATAGAATTGCCTCTTTTTCAGTTAGTGGCAAAATGAAAATAGTTAACATGCTAAAATATAAATTAATGAAGATGAAATTTCACTAAACTGAAATGAAATTAAGAAGCTAACACATAAAAGACAAGAGACACATATGCAATAAAGCAGGAAAAAATGAGTCTGGCCATACCAAACGCTATTAGGATTACCACTGTAAGCAATTTATAATCATTGCCCAAAAAATCAAGTTCCATTTATCCTATTATAGATATGCTATTACATATTTTATAATTGATTTTCTGAAATAAAAGTAATTGTCTGAGATTTACCTGATTAAGAATTTTGCAAATTTCCTCTGAATCATGATGTGAGAAACGTAACAGATACAGTCCAAAATGATAAAAGTATGGCCCCATCTTATGAAGATCTACTACACTGGCATCTGCATTCAGAATTTCTCGATATGCTTCCCTATAAACTCTTGGCACTTCAACAGCAATTATATGACGATTTTGTAAAGCTTGTGCCATCCATAATGGTAGCTCTAATTTAGTTCCTTGGGCTAGATCTGGACTTCCACTTGATGGATCTAAAAACCCTTTAAAAAAGAGAAATATGCCTTAGTTATTGTTCTTTTAAGAAACCATAAACAGTACTCCTTAGTAACAACATGATTCAAATACTGTGGTTTTGTATATTAGATATTATTTAAAACTACACGCACATACACTGAAGTGACAAAAGTCATGGGATACCTCCTAATATTTTGTCGGTCCTCCTTTTGCCCGGCGAAGTGCAACAACTCGACGTGGCATGGACTCAACAAGTCGTTGGAAGTCAGTGCAGGAATACTGAGCCATGCTGCCTCTATAGACGTCCATAATTGTGAAAGCGTTGACAGTGCAGGGTTTTGGGCACGAACTGACCTCTCGATGATGTCCCGTAAATGTTCGATGGGATTCATGTTGGGCGATCTGGGTGGCCAGATCATTTGCTGGAATTGTCCAGAATGTTCTTCTAACCAATCGCGAACAATTGTGGACCGGTGACATGGCGCATTGTCATCCATAAAAAATCCCATCGTTGTTTGAGTACATGAAGTCCATGAATGGCTGTAAGTGATCTTCAAGTAGCTGAAGGCATCCATTTCCAGTCATTGATCGGTTCAGTTGCACCAGAGGAACCATGCCATGTAAAAACAGCCCAGACCATTATGGAACCACCACCAGCTTGAACAGTTCCTTGTTGACAACTTGGGTCCATGGCTTCGTGGGGTCTGCGTCACACTCGAATCCTATCATCAGCTTGAACCAACTGAAATCGTGACTTATCTGACCAAGCCATGGTTTTCCATTCATTTAGGGAACAACCGATATGCTCACGAGCCCACGAGAGTCGCTGCAGGCGATGTCGTGCTGTCAGTAAAGGCACTCGAGTCGGTCTTCTGTTGGCATAGCCCAAGGAAGACAAATTTCGCCACACTGTCCTATCGGACACGTCCCTCATACGTCCCACATTGATTTCTACGGTTATTTGACGCAGTGTTGCTTGTCTGTGAACATTGACAACTCTACGCAGCTGTTGCTGGTCTCGGTCATTAAGTCAGGTGGTCGGCCACTGCGCTGTCCATGGTGGGGTGTTATGCCTGAAATTAGATACTCTCGGCACACTCTTGACACTGTGGATCTCGGAATGTTGAATTCCATAACGATATCCGAAATGGAATGACCAATGCGTCTAGCTCCAACTACTATTCCGCATTCAAAGTCTGTTAATTCTTGTCGTGCGGCCATAATCACGTCAAAGCCTTTTCTCATGAATAACTTGAACACAAATGAAAGCCCTGCCAAAGCACTTCGCATTTATACATTTTCTACGTGATGCTACTGCCATCTGTATATTTGCATATTGCTATCCCATGACTTTTGTTACTTCAGTGTAATGTGCTTAATACCAAAACAGTGACAGAATCATTGCCTGCTGTGAATACAAGTCAATAAAGTTTTTGCTACATGGATGAGAATAGGTACATTAAGTCATTATATGGCAATGAAGAATATGAAAATGGAAGTACTTTCCATATTACAATATAAATCATTAAAACTCTTTTCTCACCAAGGTACAGTAGATGAAAATTGATATCCTATGAAATGTCACACCAGTATATGAATAAGCATTGTACCTTTCTCTTCACTGGATTTTTTAAATTATTTAAATACATTGCATTGTAAATATGTGTAAAAAATGAACAACCTTTTAATAAATTGCTAAACTTTCAGCAGGCATTAAATTCAAAAAAGATACTCCACAAATTGGAAGAGATAATACACCATCATTTATTCGAAGGGAATTAGTTAAAATACCATAAGACTGTGATGAGTATACTAGTATTTCTATTTTTTTTTTTTTTAATCACTGCCAGTCTTCTGATGATTTTTGTCCCCAAAATAAAAATGCCCAGGAAACTTTTATAGTGAATTGGAATTTCTTAATGTACTCCTATATTTACCATAATCTATTAATTTTACTAACAACTCCAATTTAAATCTTACTTATTCAATAACTAAAACATCTCATATATTTGTTTCTTCTTTGGTTATCATCAGTATCATCTTTTTATGTCCAAATTTATGCCTACACACAGATTAATTCTTCTTTCTGTTGAAGGAAAACATAAAATTTACAGAAATGCTTTATTCTGAACATTAGGGATCTAAAAAAATCTAGCTGATATAAATGGTAGCGTTGAAATGTGCTTATCACACAGTTTTTTTAACAAGAAATTAAATTAATGACAGTCTGAGGTTGATTTTTGCCTAGTTTTTTTTATATCTATAGTATATACTACATACATCATGGGAGAGAGCCAGAGAGAAGAAATCAGAATATTCCATGGCTCTAATGTATGCAGCAATGATTGTTATTCATGACTTGCATATCATTAGAGGAGTATTTAAAATAAATACTTCTCTAATAATGTGTAAGTCATGATAATTAAAAAGTCCTTCCAAATCTGCCATATTGATGTACCCTGCAAAATTGTCAAAGCATTCTTTGCTTCTTAATAAGAAGGCTTTTGATTTTTTTAGTTACAACAAACTCAATTTACTTCTTGGTCCATTTAAGTGTTCAAGTGTAGTTTCATCATGAATGGAAGCTTTTTTGTTGTTGTTGTAGTTTGTATCTTATTGAGAAGTCCTTCATGCTGAAAAGTTAGTCTTGCATTGTTTTACCATAATTTGTATATAGCTTGTTATTTATGTTTTCATGTACACCTGTAGCCCATCAGCTATCAAGCGGCAAAAGTCACTCAACATTGGTAATTTGGTTCAGGCTTCAAGTCCCGGTAAGAATGGGCTGGCTATTCCTTTGTAGTCCCACTATACACAAGGCATTACTTTTTTGGGATGCAGTCCCCCCTCTTGCTGTTACTAACCCCATGATTTTTTTACTTGTAACATTCAGTATAACTAATTGAAAATTTGAAATTCAAACCCGGTAAAAGTATATTTTAGGGTACCCCTTGGCCAAACTTGGCGATTCTTGGTGGTGCATGGATACCGAGTTTGTGCAATTCTTTGACTTCTTATTTTGACTTGCATAACGGTGACACAAAGCCAAAATAACGACAAAGAATTGCACAAACTTGCTATCCATGTACACATCGACCTATTTTCACTTAAAAAAAATCAACAAATTGCTCAAAAATGGCATTGCACATTCCCTTGACTTTATCCATGTACACGATGACCTATTTTCACTTAAAAAAAAAAAAATCCAAGACTTGCACAAACTTGCATTGTGCACTTCCTTCACTTTGTCCATGTACACATCGATATATTTTCACATAAAAAGACAAAGGAGCAGCCAATTCTACAATACAGGCAAACAAAAAATACATAATCTCAATAAACTACATTTTAAACCAAACAATAAAATAACATAAAAAAGGAAAAACATGTTATACATTTTGGCACTACAAAAAGCAAATATTAGAAGTTCCTTTGTCTTTAGTCTGTGGCATACAAAACTCTTCAACAACATCCAAAAACTTCCTAAAATTATCTGAACTCGAATCCGTATACTGGTGTTGCCACATCTGAATTTTTCTTCTTATAAACCCATTCAAATCCATCTAAATGGTTTTTATGTTCGACTAGACGCATACCTTTCCTACATACAGAACACGGCTAATTTTTGGAATATGGTAACAGGTAGTTTGGCGACATTTTGGTAGGCGATAAAGGTTACTACCTAGGACTTTGGGAATAATGTGAGAAGTACTCAGTTCCGATTACGCATTATTTTGTGTGAGGGCAATGAGAGATCATGAGATATGTCATGTGACATTAATGGACGAATTACAGTTCTTTAATCGTAAAAGGGGGGGGGAATCTGGAAAAAATCTGGAAATTTTTATTGCGTTTAGCATTTTGTATTCAGCTTCATAGTGTGTTGTGTGAAACAGTGTTGGTTAATTTTTGGATCCCATGGCCCTATCTAAAGTGAATTCGAAATGGGTATTTAGTGGGATTGAAAGGAGTAGTAATAAGTGTTTTTTTAAGGTTGTGCGAGATAGAAGTAAAGATTGCTTATTAAGTTTTATTAAGCAGTATATTCTACCTGGTATAATAATATCTGATTGCTGGAAGTCATATGTTTGTTTGGAGGATGAAGGTTTTCAACATCTTGCTGTGAACCATAAGTATGATTTTAAAGATCCTGAAACAGGCGCACATACGATTGCTTTTTATTTAGCGGAGGAAATAAGAAAAGTTTATCCGCCACGTAATCAAGATTCTGAAGAAGATTAGTAAGTTAGTATTTTTAATTATTTGAGGATATTATTTTTATGCATTGTTCTAAATGTAAGGAGTAAATAAATTAATATGGTATTATTGGAAAATTGTTATTAGCAATGATTTAGGTTTAAAGTAATTAGGATTGTAAGCTAATTCTTATTAATTTAATGTATGTGCTTATTTATATTTTAAGTAGTGTTTTTTTTTTAATTTAATTATATTTTAATTAAATGATAGTTATTTTGTGAATTATATGTTTGTAGGAATTTGGTATACGTTTCAGTGGAAGTAAACGTGCATGGAAATAATTTAAATATTTGACACTAAGTATTTGCAACCATTTTTAATGTTTGCGTTAGAAATTCGTTGGTGACATTTATAATAGATAATTTAGAGGTAAAAGTTTTTGGATATTTTATTTATTTTATACGTGCAAATGTTCATCCTTGGAAAGGGTATATATTTTTTCGCGATCAGGTAATTTCATATATGTCCTTTTTACCAAATTTAAAGGTTCACAAAATTTTCATGCATTTTCGTGAAATTTTTCTAATTTATGAGAAAAAACGCAGTGTAGATGGATAAAGTCAAGAGTGTGTGCACAATGCCATTTTTGTGCAATTCTGGGATTTTTTTCAAGTAAAAATAAGTCGACGTGTACATGGTTACTGTGTATGTGCGATTCTGATAAATGCGGCAAGGAGTTTGCGATTCTGCACTTTTTCCCAATTTTGCAGTTAATATTTGTCATGATTAAGCAGTTTTGTTCCATAAAATTTCTAGCATAAGTGTAATTCGGCTAGCAGATTGTTGGAAAAAGTGTTGAGTAAATAAAAAGAAAAGAAACATGTCTTTACTTCATGAAGACAAAATGGCGGCGAAAAAAAATAGTAGAGGGCTGCTGTAGCAGAGTTTGTCACCAAATTTTTGCCAAAAAGTCACCAAGTTACCATAATCCAAAGATTAACCCAGAACACTTATAATGGCTACTAAGTAAACCTTCATTTACACACCAGTCAATTAACGCTTTTTTCCCCTTTCAGTCCAAATCGTACAGAAATTTAAAATGAATCTTACTACATTCAGCCATTCTACCATCTAAACAATAAAACCAACACACACCACAAAAGCACTTACAAAACATCCCATGATTTCCCAGAATCCTGCATCTAATCATGTCACAATAGGGTTTCCATAACATTCAACTACTCAGGATACCATAAATGAAACAACAACTTGGCAATAAATGAAACAACTTCTCCATAATACAAATGATACCTTAAAGTCTATTCTAACCTCAAACCCAAGTATTAATTAAATATTTAAAATTATTAATGATATAATTCAAACCCAAGTTCTGTTATGTTTATTAAATGTATCTCATTAATACTCCATTTATATTATTGTGATAAAATTTATTATGTAAATAACTGATTAAAGAGTCATTTTTAAAAGGTGCAGTGTAATATACTGCATTAAAAATGGTTTTTAATAAAAAAATGAACTAACTATACAACTATTAATATATAGGGAAAAGAATCATTTTAAAATCTTAAAAATAAAAAAGTAAAAGAAAAATAACTCTGATTTCTAATTGAACTAACAAATACAATTTACCTTGACATTAATTATAGTAGCTTAGTAATACACAATCAAGAGGCATGTTTTTTGGAGTACTGAGAGATGCCTCAGAAATTTATGGGCAATTTGAAAATATTTAATTCCCATCAGAAAACAATAAATTTATTTTATGGACGGGGAAAAGGAAATCACTGTTTACTTTAGAACTTAAAAGGTCAATACAGATATTCAAAGACTTTTATAATACTTATAATACAAATATCAGTTACTTTCAAAATACACAATATTTTACACACTCAATTCATAAAAATTTTGATAGAACTTTTTATCATTCAGATGCTAAATTCTTATACATATATATAAATGCATAAAGAACTAAAAAAACTAATTAATATAATTTATTACCTTCCCCACAAATAAAAAATATTAAACTGTATTTTAAAAAAATAACATTATCTTTCTACTTAGTTCAAAACTATGCAGTAGCAGAGCTGCACCTAACTGAATGGAAATAATAATAATAATAATAAAATATTCTACACAGAAAAGGATACAATTATTTTAAATATAATTTCAAACATGAAAACTATTTCAAATCTGAAATTATTCAAAATCTATGTTGTTGTTGAAATTATTCATTATTATGTTGTTGTTGAAATTATTCAAAAGTTGAAGACATTTTAACTTAAGACACATTTTAACTTGTCAGTTTTCTATGAGAATAGGGAATTATGGCTTCTTCAGGTTTAATAGCAAATACATAATACTGTTATATTTAATTCAAATATACTTTAGGCTATTAATGTAAAAGTAAACCATTAGTTTTTGTATAATAGCACAAAGATTCAAATTACACGCTTCTTCAAAAAAGCTTAAATTTTTTTTGATTTTTTTAAATTTACAAAATATAAGTAATTTGCAAAGCTACTTTTATTCCGAATATTCGCTAAAAAAATAATCCTTATGCGAAAAACATATTTCTCTAGATATATCTACATGCACAATTAACCGTCGTTTCAAGGACATTCTATGCCTTTAAATATATTTACGTGATGACTGATAGTTACATACCTAATTTATGAACAGGTACTTCAAATCGACAGGGTATTCTTTCATTAGTAGCTAGAATATCGTCAATGGAAAAATATTGTTCTTCGGCAAAAACGAAACTTCTTTTCGTAAAATTCATGCCTAAAGCTTAATGTGACTTGCCATAAAAGCATCAATGTAATTAGACGATTTATTCGAATAAATATAAATTATATAAAAGAGATACTAATCTGATACTCAAATTTAGATTACATAACGGAGGGAAGCAATTTAAAAATTTAGTTAAAAAGTTGCATCTTTTTGTTACGACTTTCTGCCCAAAGGTCTGCCAAAGGCCTTAGGCATGGCTGGGAACTTCAATGGCTCGGAATGATGCTCTTTTTATCTGTCATTCATAATGCAAACAGGGTAGTTTTAGATTATATCTTTCTAGGAAACATAGTCAAAATATTGTAATTTCGGAGGTCATTTCTAATGAAGCCCTGTAAGAGGACATGTGTAGTGCAATGCAGTTCAGAAAATAGCTTTATATATAGTATTTGAATATTTAATAATCGTTCTTAGCCACATAAAGATATTAAAAGAGCATAAATGCATGAAATTTTTAAATAATGACCTTTTTTTTTTTTTTTTTTTTTTTTTTAATAGCTAGATGTAATAATTTTTAAAGAGTTATTTAGCCATCGGTGTTTTCGTCGGTCAAATGGCAACAGAACATGTAAAGAATTTCTGTTCATTTCGTCATATAATCTTTCAAAATAAGTATTCTGGAAGTTTACAGTCAAAATTTAGTACTTTGGTTTGATTGTCAATGAGATGAGTGTTTATAGTTCATTAATGTTTATCGGGTTTGATTGTCAATGGGATGCGTGTTTATAGTTCATTAATGTTTATAGACATCATATATGAGAATTTCTGATTAATACCATTGTGCGGACTGAAAGTGTTTTTTTGAGTTTTACTCAGTTGAGGTGAGTTATATATATATATTTGAAAGTTTGAGTTTTTAGAGATGCAGAAAAAAATGCATGCAGAATTTTGCTTTCATATCCTGAAAATTAAAAATTAGTGTTGTAAGAGGTAATTAAATTTGTACGAATGTTTGTACTAGTATGTGACTGATGCTTAAAGAGTGACTTAAAATTAGTAGAATTAGTTTTAGAACTTTATATGATTAAATGGGTAACAAATTAGTTGAACATATACAGTGTTTATAAATTAGTTTATGGTAGCTTTATATTCACCTTTACATATGTTAAAATGATACTACTGTAATTAGAATGTTGAGGGTGGGCGGCGCACCTTCCTTGAGGGTTTTAGTTATTAAAATGCTGGATGAAAAATTTCGACATTGAAAATAAAGTTTCATTGGTGTACTGCACTTAAAAAAGAAAATTTTGGAAGTGATAACTTACTTGCCAATTTTATATATTCTTTGTAAATATAAAAATTTTTTCATATTTTTATTCGTCATGTTAACTCCTGTTAAACAAATTCGTACCCAAAAATTTTGCTCTGTGAAATATTTAAAGAGTTTTACAACTTTCGTTGAGTAACTTAAAAAATTTATTAAGAATTAATCTGCTTTTTAAAACTGAAAATTTGTTTCTATTAGTACTGTTGTTATTAGTGTATGCTCTGAAACTAGTTTTGAGTATCTTATTTCGAAAAGTATCTTGATATTGTATTTGAACTTGAATGTATAGTAGCATTGACATAATGATGATGATCTAAGAGAACTTGCTTTTTCAGTATATTCCTTTAGTTTTCTGTTCACTTCAGATTAAATTTATTACTAAAATTTGTGTGTGTTAATGCTAAATTTACTATATTTGCATATATTTAAATTGTAGCACAATTTCGGATTACTTTTCATTAACCCTCCAAGTGGCCGAGCCGTATATATACGTTTA